GGTATGTTGGTAAAATTTAAGATGATTGATTTTAAGTTTTGAGTATCATTTGCAAAGATTTAATTTAAAGTTCAGGATATGCTTAAAGTGTTTACAAAAAAAATTGTCAATTTAAACAAATAAATAAATGATGTATAAATAAACTTTTAACTACCTCATTTCACTGCAAAATGTTATTTTGATAGACATTTGTGAACTACACACTACAAGACTATAAAATCAATGAATTCCAATCGAATTCGATCAAAATTTAGTATTTTAAATAAAAATAATTTAGGGAAATGCTCTTTTCACCTTTAGGGTCTGTTTGGTTCGGGGTAGATGGAGGGGAGGGGAGGGGAAATTTTTAATTAAATATGTTTGGTTCAAATTTTAGGAGGGGAGGGGAGGGGAGGGGAGGGGAGCAAAATCCCTCCAAAACACACTTTTTGGTTCCCTCCGAATTGGGGGAATTTGGAGGGGAGGGGAGGGAATATGAATTTTGATATTTAAAAATTATTATATTTACTAAAGTATCCTCAGTTTAATTTTATTATTTCAAAACTATTTGTTATCTTTTGTGTTACTGTTTTTTCTCGATTGTTTTCATCAACTTATTATAATTGTTCTTCACCTTCAAATTATTTTATAATTTTTATAATTAATATAAATCATAATCATTGTCTTTTTTTTATAAAAAAAAATTATGTTTCGTTATATTCGTTTTTTTTCTTTTAATTTTGTTATGTACTCTATCATATTTTCTTTTATATCAAATTATAAACCATATCATTTTATTTATTTTTGTTTATTCATTTTATTAAATATTTTGAACCATTAATATTTAGTCATAAGTTATTTTATATATTTGTTTTGTTATATGATTCATCATAATTTAAACGATGTTATTGGCATATAGTTTAATTTATGTTGGAAAGTTATAAGTCGAATCGATTATACTCAATTTTTTAACTTTATGTGACAAATAAATATTTTTTTAATCACTCAATATTAGAAATTTTATTACCAACAAAAATACGCACGAATTTTTCACATTTTAATATCATATGACTTATATAAAATCATAAGGATAAAAATGTAAATTATTAATAAAACCCCTCCCCTCCCCTTCTGAACCAAACACATTTTTAATTAAAATCCCTCCCCTCCCCTCCCCTCCACTCTTTTGAACCAAACACTTATTTGAATAAAAAATTCCTTCACCTCCCCTCCCCTCCCCTCCCCTTCATTAAAATCCCTCCCCTCCCCTCCCCCTCATTTGAACCAAACAGACCCTTAGAGGTGTGCCCCACACTCTTAAAAATTTGAAATTGTTTTTCATGCGCCCGGAGATGCATCTCTCGACGCACCCAAGCATGATCTTTTGCTTCATTTTAAACTTCACTCTCAAAATAAAAAACCTATAAAAAATTATCTTATTCTCAATCAACTTTTCAACATTAAAACATCATTCTTTGATATTATCACATTAAAGGGAACAAAAGAAGCTAAAATTGCAGGTAAAGTTCTTTCATTTCATCCATCATTCCTTGCATTGATGAGTTTTCTGTACTGAAAAAGTGAACGTTGAGTCCAGATATGCATCACCGGACAAAGTTTGGTATGGTTTGGATATGCATCTCCAAATTTGCTTGATACTTTGAATATTAACATATGTTTTTCTGTTATTTTATTATATTAGATATGGTGTGCCTGGATATGTTTCTCAAAGCTACTCTGAGGATGGATGTTAAACCAGACAAAGTGAAGCATACTGTAAAACTGGATGAAGTGAATAATTATGTTAAATCGGGTGATTCACCGGTTGTTTTCGAGTCAGATGGTTGTGCATAAATTTACAAATAAACAAGATTTTATGGTTCGTGAACATATGCTACAATAGGTCCGATGGAGACGGAGAATTGGGGTTTGACTTTGTAATCGGAAGGTCTGACAATGGTTTAGATATAAGACAAATATTTGTAACAATGAGATGCGAAAGAAGTGACACATACCAACCACGGATTAGAAAGTTGAAACGAGAGACACTAGATCGAGAAAATGTGAATATTTATTTAAATTGTGCGGATATCGTATGGCGGATGACACATGGAAATTTATTCTAGTATATGTAATCATGTCTTGAATGACAAGTTAGGCGATCATCCCATTGTACGTCTCTTTGTTTCGGAGGAGAAGGAACTTGTTTTGGACATGACATTAAACATGGTGGTGCTAAAAAACATACTCGCATATTTGAAATGGAAAAGACCTCTAAATGTTTCAAATATCAAGCAAATATACAACGTGTGTGCTCGAAACAACAAGGCGTTAAGAGGACCAAGATTTGAGAAGCAACAATTGTTGAAACTTTTGGAAGCTGACCACTATGTTTCTAGATATAGAGTTTGTGACGATAAAGTCGCCATTCTGGATATATTTAGGATTCATCCTAATTCCATTAAGTTGTTCAACACATTTTTTAGATTCTCCGACTCCAAAATCCCAGAAAAAGTATTTTCAAGGGTGACCGCATCAGCAAACTATCTCCTCCACCGTCGTTACCAAAAATCATCCACATTGAAGATATATCGTTTTTTATGCACAAGTACATTGAGCGGATTATAGATGTTGAAGTGACTACAACTGTGCTTTTCGAGTTGTTTCGAGTTTGTTGGGTAAAGGAGATGAGAACCACCAACTTATTCGCCTTCAGCTTATACAAGAGATGGTGACTCATAGGAAATCATACACAAAGCTATACGAGAAAAAAGAAAATTATGATGCAATTCTCAATGCTTTTGCTCCTTGTCTTAGTGGTCTGACGTCGTTTGACAAATGGATGTGCTTCCCATATAGCAAGTGTTTATGATAAGGTGTGTATTGATCTCACATGATACAGTTTCTCATAAACTTTTTTTCATTTCGGAGTAGGTTACCTCAAAATTCATGTATATTAGACGAAACATTTCACTCAAGATGTTGAAACTTGACATGATTACTTTCTGAAAATGATGGAAGAGTTCACCTGGTTGATCGACATTAAAAGAGAAGTAAATAAGAAAAGGTCAAGGAAGAAATCACCAATAAATTTAGGCAGTGACATGTGTTTTGATACATTTTAGTTTAATCTAACAATGTAACTTGTTTTTGTATGTAATGTTGTCTATAATGTTATAAAATTGAGTAGTAATTTTTCAACAATTTTTCTGTTTCTAACACTGAATAATACGCTGGTTCTGTATGAATAATTTTGGTGAGTCGGGAGATCATATTAGAACACACCTTTAAATTATTAAAAAAGAAATTAAGGATTATACGGATGTGCATCTCCATAAAGATCCTTGCCTTTTTAAAAAGAAAATAGGATTTTTATGGTCCAACTTAATCTCTCACTTATATAAATAGAGGTTCCTTCATTTTTTTTTTACAAAAAGCAGAATGAATACATACTCTGTCTTGCCTGTGTATATTTTGATGACTTCATTTTTTTTTACAAAAAGCATAATGAATATATACTTTGTCTTGCCTGTGTATATTTTGATGAAAATCTCACTTCAGTTTAGGATCTCCGAATACATACTCCGTCTTGCCTTTGTATATTTCGATGAAAATCTCTCACTTCAATTTAAGATCTCCAAAAACATACTTTTCGTAGATTTGAAAATCAAACTAAATTCTCTCCTACAATATTAACTTATATTAGTTTTCCATTATGCCATTATTGTAATGTTAATTTATGTTAGAAAATCAAACTAAATACTCTCCTACAATATTAACTTATATTAGTTTTCCATTATGCCAATATTAACTTATATTAGTTTTCCATTATGCCATTATTGTAATGTTAATTTATGTTAGTTTTCCATTACGCCATTATTCCTCATTGTTTCTGATTTGATTAACTGAGCATATTTCACATACGCATATCCAAAAAAAAAACTCATTAAATATCAAATTAATGAGAATTAGATATATCTAAATTTTATCAGAATAAAAATTTCTCAATAATTTCATCTAAAGTGTGTGAATCTCCTAACGCTATAAACAGTTGTAACTTTTTGCAAAAGTGGAGGATAGAAAAAGTAATTCCCCTAATCTAAAATGTCGATAACTGCACTACATGTTTTTAAGTAGACCAAAAAGCACGTGCTCCTCATTAAAACAACGATTCTTCTCCCTTTCAGAAAATATTTTCAAGTATCTTTTCCTAAAATCTATGTTCATTTTAAATTGGTAACATAGAGATATAACATTTACAGAAAAAATTAAAATACTAAACCTAATTTAATAAATTGTAAAAGTTGTAAAAAATATTCAGATTCAGAGAAATGACTTTTCTACAGTTACTTATCTACTCTCTTTAGGATGCTGTAGAATGACTTTTCTACCGTATTCACAAGAGAACACATCACTCCTTAGCACATGACTAATACTAAGCCCACAAATATTATTAAGAAAACATAATCAACTTTGACCATATTTCCAAAATATTAATATATGTCACATAATAAACTTAGTACTTTTAAAAAATCTTCATCAAACCAACTCAATTGATAATTGTGAAAGAGACATCATATATAGAGGGACAAGTTAGAATCTGCGGCATACTACTTATTCGTCCCTAAGTTACTTCAGAAAAAAATTAACTTTAAAAATGATCCAAGCAGCACATAACCAATTCAAATACAATTCATATCAACTTTTTTGAAAACAAAAAGACAACAAAACCAAATTCAAACTGAATAGTTTTTAGTTTAATCTAAAAGTTCAAACTAATAAACTCCAATACCAAGGACTCTGAGAACACTAAGTTTCATAACAAAGTGACCAACCTACTTTGTCGATATCATACATGTACATCCTTAAAAGTCAAGGACATTTAACTTCCCCTGTGTAAAAAGAAGCTCTATGTTCTTGTTCAATCAACTAACCATTATTACACAATGGAAAATTTAATAGTGATCTGTCCTTGATCTTTATCATAAAGATGTAACCACCTATTAAATTGAGAATAAGAGCTAGTATGGCCTGTATCGTGTCGGTCTTCTATATCTCGGAACCCTTCTACATGAAAAAGTGATTTATTTAGTAATTAAACATAAAGCATGGGCTGTGAAGAAATAAAAACATTTATGAAATCTGTGTCATAATTAAAACAATGTCTGGATTATGAAGAAATATCATATCAAAGAAAGAATGACAAATAGGACGAACCAAAAACCTACTGCTGATTCAGTCGGTGAAAACCTACAAGTATTACTATTCATTTGGCGTGCGCATGCATGCGATGTGATGTGCACACATGCGATGTGATGTGCACACATGCGATGTGATGTGCACACGTGATGTAACATGAAGCACCATTTAAACATAGTAAACATATCAACTTTTTCCAAGACATCAAAATTTCCATAGTGGGTGGCAGAGACAAAGGCGAGAATTAATCCTGGGGAAATATTTTATTTTATTCAGATTCGAACGATAGCTTACCCGTAACCATATGGTGGAAAGAATGGTGAAGGCATGAAAGGTCTCCTAGCACGGAAACCAGCAGGTCTTCTTCCAAAGTACTGCTTCAATCCAGGAACATTTGTTCTTTTTGCAGACACCTGAAGGAAAACCCATAATTCAAGTAAAACCAACTGGAAACATGGAGTGATTAATTGAATTTACGTATATAATCAGATAAAAATACCTTTAGCTGTCGGCCATGCAATTCTGTTTCATTTAAAATGAGAGCATTCTGAACAGCGTCGATCTCAACAAATTCTACATAAGCAAATCCTTTTGGTTGACCAAATTTGTCAGTCAATATTGTCACTCTGTTGACCGTACCACAGGACTGAAAAAGCTGTTGGACTTCTTCAGGCGTACATGCGTAGTCAACCTGAATCATAATTTGGAAAGCATTTTGATGAATTACAAAACATGGTAGAAGTTTTTAAGATGAATTACGCATAAAAGGGACTAAAAAATGCATTAGACATGTGACTGTGAGGCACCAGAATCAGTCTTGAGCAAGTAATCAAATACTTTTGTGGTCTTTAATGGTTGCAAGAGACAAGAGGACGAAGACAACAACAACCAAAACTTTCTCCCACAAGGAGGGATCCAGTGACACCTTGTGCATGTAGCACCCAAAACTGCTATAGCAGAGAGCGGGATAGCCGCTATTGCAGAATAAAAGATACTAGTAGTATACAAACTAAACATAAATACCGACAAAATACATAAACACTCAAACATAGCAAAATACATGAAATTAAAGAGGTAATCATACTTCATAAATTATATTTAACTTTGATCATTTGTCACCATACAATAAAGATATATTAAAATTCTATAGTTTATCTATAATCTTAACCATAAAGACCCTTCAGCATGTCAAAAAAAAAAAACAGATTCCTTAAGAAAAATAAAAATTTTAAAAAAAAAGTAGAGAAATTGGATCTGCTTGGCCCAGTTAGAAAACCCTAATTATACTGACTCTGAAAATTAAGAGGAAGAGAGTGCAATAGACAGCCGTCACCATCGCACAAACAATTCTTAGTTTTCCTCCAACCCACCCCTAATCCCTCGATTAAAAAGTTAGGTTTTTTTTTGTAAAAATATGGCTACAAGTTGACTCCCGATTTCACTGTGATTTTCACAATCATGTAATGATATTGCCACTCCCAATCCCAACTACATTGCCATAAAGAGGGAGCCTTAAAGATTGCAAGATTTGTGGGATTTCAATTGAAGACCAAAGAACACAAAATACAACGGGATTGCACCGTGATTTGCAACCGCAAAAGCCGCTACTTCAACACTGTTTTTCTACTGTGTCACTATTGACAACATAGTTCAGACTCGCTCCAAACTAAACCAACCGGTTGCACGTGCAACACACATTAAATGCCCTCTTTTATCGAGACAAAAAACAGAAAACTTGAAGGCTCAATTAACTACTTTCCAAACCAGACCACACACGGAAGAGAGAGCAGGATTGCACCGCGATTTGCAGCCGCAAAGGCACTACGTCTGAATGCATCTAGCAAGAGGAAATCATTGCAGAACACCCCTTCTCCACTAGACTAATCTGCTAAATCGTCGCTATCGACAATATAGCCCATACTTGCTTCAAACTAAACCAACCGGTTACGCATGCAACACACGTTAAATGCCCTCTAATCAAAACAAAAAACAGCAAACTTGAAGGCTCAATTAACTACTTTCCAAACCAGACCACACAACCTCTTCCCCAGCTCAACCATTCCACAAATATGCAGAAGAAAGAGAGGAGCGGCAATTGGGGCCACAAAAGTCACTACTTCTGAAAGAAGCTAGTAGGAGGTAAATGTCACAGAGCACCCCTTCCCTGCTCCACTATTCAGCTAATGTGTCGCCATCAACAACATAGCCTAGACTCGCTCCAAACTAAACCGGCTGGTTACACATTAAATGCCCTTTTATCAAGACAAAAGAACAACAAAAATGAAGGGTTGAATAACTACTTTCCAAACCAGACCACACAAACTCTTTCCATCACAATTCTCACCCATTCCACGCAAATGCAAAAGAGATCTGGATTGAACCACAATTTGGGGCAGCAAAAGCCACCACTTCTGAAAGCAGATAGCAGAAGGAAAACTTCACACAACACCCCTTCTCCACGACGCTATTTCCCTATTATGTCTCTATCAACAACATAGTCTAGACTCACTCTAAACTAAACCAACCGGTTACACGTGTGACACACATTAAAAGCCCTCATTAATCAAGACAAAAAACAACAAAATTGAAGGGTCGAATAACTACTTTCCAAACCAGAGCACAACTCCTCCCCATCTCAACCATTGCACACAAACGCAGAGAAGAAAGCGAGATTGCGCCGCAATTTGCAGGAGGAAATTATTGCAGAACACCCCTTCGCTTCTACGCTTTTCCACTATTGCATCGCCGATATCAACAACATAGCCTAGACTTGCTCCAAAACAAAACCAATCGAAGGCTCCAATAACTACTTCCTAAACCAGACCACACAACCTATTTCCCATCTCAACCATTCCACACGTTCAACACACATTAGATGCCCTCTTTTATGAAGACAAAAAACAACAAAATTGAAGGTTTGAATAACACCTCTTCTCAGATACGCTATTCTGTGATGGAATCACTATTGACAACATAGCCTAGACTCGTAGTAACTAAACCAACTGGTTACACGTGTGACACACATTGGATGCCCTCTTTTATCAAGACAAAAACAACAAAATTGAAGGTTTGAATAACACCCCTTCTCAGCTACGCTATTCCGTGATAGTGTCGCTATTGACAACATAGCTAGACTTGCACTAAACTAAACCGACTGGTTACACGTGCAACACACATTAAATGCCCTTTTAAATCGAGACAAAAATTAACAAAATTGAAGGCTTGAATAACTACTCTATACCAGACCACAAAACCTCTTTTCAATCTCAACTATTCAACACAAGCACAGAGAAGAGGGTGTAAAACGTCACAGAATACCCCTTCTGCGCTGTGTTGCTCCACTATTGCGCCTCTATCGACAACATAGAGTAGACTCGCAGTAAACTAAACCGACTGTTTACACATGTGACACACATTAAATGCCGTCTTTAATCAAGACAAACAAGCAACAAAATTGATGGCTCGAATAAATACTGAATCAACATTTACTATCATACGAAATGGAAATACTATTATTGTATAGGCAATCACGCGCAGTGCAGCTTACGTCCCCCAAAAAAATCTAAATCAACATTTATTATTACTTACATCCCAATAATCCAAATATTAAACTCATACCAACAGGAGTGATAACAGAAAAGGTTAACCTCAAAACAAAACTGTAAGCGACAAAGACAAACCAATATATTCAGAAACCACCAAAAGGATTACAGAATGACAGAGTAGCAACAATCATATAGCTCACTGGAAATTACAGACAAACAAACACCTAAACCATTCTACTAGTGCACTATGCTCATACAATACTTGATACAGAAAACAGATTAACAGAAAATACAATCTGAAGTGATCATAAACGAAAAACAATTGTATGAAAATACTCACATTGCCAACATAGATCGATCGAGCATCCACTTCCTCCTTTTCAGCTTGAGATACAGAAGACCCAGCAGGATCTTAAAAATCAAAAATCAAAAAAATCTTTCAAAACAACAATCCAACCAAATGATAAACAGATCTGAACCAATCAACGAAAAAAGTTCGCAAATTAAAAAAGCATAACAAAAATGAAACCTTGAACGGCGCCCATTTCTTTCTCGACCTTAGCTTGCATTTCGCGAAGGGCGCTAGCTTCTTCCTCGATCTCTTTCAGCCTCTTCTTCATGTCCTCCAATTCCTGAAAATTCATTCATGTTAAAAGATGAGACAGAGAGATGAACAATGAGGTGACTTAACCCTAAACCTAAACCTAACCCTAACCTTGGTTGTGTGATTGGGGGGAAGTTCTTCATCTCCTTGTTGTTCAGCTTCCATCTCTGCTTCCATCTCAACCTCTTCATCAGGAATGTCTGCACCGTACACTTCGTGCTCTTCTTGTTCCATCTCTACTCTATCTTCTTCCTTCTCTCTCTCACTCTTTCTCTCTCTCTTTCTCTCTCTGTGTACCAAATGGATTTTGTCGACTATGATTCAAACACCCTCTTATATTCGTGTAAAGTAATTCTCTGGTCAAAATAAAATACAATAAAAAGTAATTCTTTTAATCTCTATTTTCTTTTTTACATAACCTTAATTTCACAATATTTCATATTTATAATGTCACAAAAATATGATTGATACAAGATATAATGATGAAGAAGAAATATTTAAAAATGTGATATGCTATAGACAAATATTAGATAGTATACTTGGTATTGATAAAAATATAATATCAGTATTTTACTGTTTTATGTATTTGATTAGATACATGATTAATAACAATAGTATGATTTAATATTATCTTTCAATGTATTCTACGTTTATTTTATGGTGTCGTTGTTAAGACATCATATAAGTGGTGTTGCATTAAAGCTAATGTGCGTGTGATTAAATTAAAAATGTTTTAGCAGTCACATTAACCTTTTCATCCTTATTTTAATAACCTACAATAATCTTTTTAGAAATGATTTCATATTTTGGAAAACACATATATCATCAAAATTGAATAATTTGATGTAGTTTGAGTTTTATTTATGATCGAGATTTATCTTCATTATAACAATAACTTCTTATTTGTTATTGTTCATTTAATATTTACGAGAACAATAAAAATAAAAATATGAGTTGCATATCTATAATTTTAAATTTTTAGAGTTTTGTACAATCATGAAAAAATATTAATCAATGGTCAAATTTAACTCCCCTTAATTTAGCTGACTCATAGGGGGGAGTTTCCAAAACCATTTTCATATTTGTTTATTGATCACCAACTCTAGTGTAAGTGTTTGCACATTAGTTGTCATGTTGATTCGGCACCTCCATGTTTAGAGATGTGGTTGACCTAGATTATGTGGGTCTAGTGGTTTGAGTGGTCAGTGAAACTTGTTTTTTTTGTAGTAATTGTTTGATTGTTAGCGGGCCTTTAGATTATAAACATGTGTTGTTGTTCCTTAGTGTACATTAGAATTTAGTTATTATTGGTGTGTTGCTCTGAATTTTTGTTATTGTTGCTCCATTTAATGTCTTGTTTATTATTGTTATATATTTTTTTATTAACTTGTGGTTGATATTCAAAGTATCATCTTTTCACATGTCTAATTGAATTGATTATTTGATTATTTGTCTTGACTTACGTCATGATTTACTTCATTTATTATTTTTTCTTTAATTTCCCTAGAATAATGTATTGATTATCTTCTCCATAATTCTCCTTAATATCATCAATATTTTCTAAATTTTGAAATTTGGTTCTCATGCTTGTCTAAGTAAGTGACACATTCCACCGGTACTTTTCTGATCCAATTTATAACCAGTGAAATTGTAATCAGAGTATTCAACTAAAGCACAATATGTTCCTTTCGGATACTATAAACGCACAAATTATGTGCTAATTAGATATTTAATCATGTGTTCAACAGCAAATATATGTTATTCTTTAGAGTTTTCTTAAAAACGAGCACAAAGACAGACAACAAACATGATATCTCGACAAGATTGAGTAATGTAAAAATGAGATTTGATCATACCTCGTGTTCGCTTAGAAATTCTAGCTGAAATAGACTCAACAAATAGTGGTAATGGCTACGTTGAAAATGTTAAGTATCAAGTGCTTCAACCAAAGACTTAGGCGTGTTAAGATGGTTTGAATAACCAATCAGTTAAGTCAAAGCAAATGCTGGTTTAGAGGAGTCTCAAAAAAAGATCCACAAGATTAGGATCACTATATAACACGTTTAGAATCTTGAAAAGGGTTTCACAAAATCAGAACTTCGACTAATGTCGAAGTCGACATACCTATCATGTGTTAGGGACTTAGGATATTTTGAAGTCCAAATTCTATGTGATATTAAAATGTCTCATTATTAGGGAAGTTAATCAAAGACTCTCAACAGAGGCGGCTAAGAGGTCCAAATCAGTTATCAACGCAGCTATCAACATATTGGTTGGTTTTCAACAGTTTGTTCCTTGGAGACGCGTGGAAGCAAACTGGAGTGATGAAGCCCACATAGTGGGATAAATATCAGATTATTAGGATTTATTTGTTGCCAATGGTTACTATTGTATTAGCATATAAGTCAGTCTCAGTGTATGAGATGAGGGTCGCAACTTTTCACTAATTCTCTATAAAACTAAAGTATCCAAGTCACAAAGGGAAATAGTTTGTGAGAAATGTGAGTATGTGTCCAATATTTAAACTTTATGTAAATCTTTTGTATTTGAAGCATTTACTTTAGTGTTATTTATCATTTTTATTGTTTTTTATCTTTATCTCAAGTATATTGTTTGCGTCCAATTTATCATTATTCAAGCATTAAAATTCCAATCACTCATTTTTCTTTGCAACCTTTTGCATAAATTGTTCTTAAGATTTTTTGAGTTAATTTGTTAAGTGAACTAAACTCGTGATTGTTTACAAAATTCACCAGTAAACAAGTTGGCACACACAATTGGACCCTTTTGTGCAATATTTATAAAACTTTGGTAGAAAATGGTGTGTTTTTTTATATATTTCATTCCTTTTTTCATATGAAATGTCTTCATTTGCTGATTATTTATGCACCCGGGGCGTGGTAATAAACTTCCATAAATGAATCTTCTAACTAAGAACCCAATTCTCCCTCTGAGAAATTCTCATAATGTAGAAGAACAATCAATAGATTTGACGGTTGGCAATACAGGGACTTCAACCACTGGTGGAGAAAACCCTACAGTTATAAGCCAGATAACAGTGTCGATTGTTTCACCCAAAATTATGGTATCCTTACCACAAGTAAAGAGTTGCCCATCACCCCTAGGGATACACAAAGTATGGTAGGAAACCAAATGCCTCATTTTCCCTTGAATTTTACATTATCCTCATGTGGTAGGAAACAATCTTATGGCATGCCAACTGTGATGATGACAAACCTGCACCCTGTTGTATCTACATATGCATATAGTGCAATGGTTATTGCATCCCTTTATTAACCCATACTTATCATCAGGGTCTTTTATTAACAACCTTGGTCAAATGGCGCAACCACTAGGAAGGTTAGGCCATATTCCTCCAAGTATCCCATCCTTGACCAATAATTCTCTCTAGTGTGTGAGACAACAAAATAGGCAATGTTCAATCCTCTGACTCAGAATATTAACCACAGTTACCAGCAATTAGCATAATAAATGGGTCGAATTATTGATTTCTTTTATGCTTCTCAAGCACCTGTTCAACAAATGCCCAACAACCAGATATCATAGCAGGCAATACTTGTCGAATCACCCATACCCAGGGTAGTCAAAGGCAACACTGGACAAAATGGCTCTGAGGTGGTAATGGTGCATAGAAACCAAGATGTTGACCAAGTAGTTAAAAATGTCCAACAAATAATTTTGGGGGGCAGAACAATATAACTAATATGGTCGAATAGATATTGGCTCACAATGGCCTTAATGTTGGTCTCCACATACCAAATTTTGTGTAAGCACTATCTGAATATGTGTTACAGACTGAGTTACCCAAGGGTTAGAAAATCGCAAAGTTTAATAAGTTTGCAAGGGACACTGATGAATCCACGGTCGAACATGTTGCTCGATATCAGTAGGAGGCAATAGACTTAGCTAATAAAAAAAATTGAAAATGAAATATTTCCCCAATTCGTTGACCAACATTGCCTTCATAGGGTTCACCACCCTTCCTTCACACTCTATACGTAACTGGAGTCAGTTAGAAAGAGCGTTGAAAAATTTTACATGGTTCACTCGAAGATTAGCCCTAATGAATTATCCAGTGTAAGGCGAAACATAGTTGAATCAATAGATGAATACCTCACTAGGTTTAGGATAATGAAGTCAAAGTGATTTATGTAACACCCCCTTTCTATACCCTCAAATAAACAATTAAATCATTTAAGCGCTTTAATAAAATTTCATCAGAGTATAACTTAACGCATGGTATAAAAGAGGTACGTCACAATATCAAGGAAAATTCAAAACACATACAACACCTGCTCATAAAGATATGCAACAAAGGGTAAACCAACACAAAGGAACTCAGTCCTCAAAACCCACACATCAGTATTTAGAATAAAAGCGGAAACATCTAAACATTCATTCACTTCATTCATATAAACATTGTATACATAAAGAGTTTCAATTTAAGTCATAATACATGTTTACAAAACATACACCAGGAAATACATTCACAGATGTATCACAAAAGAACCAAAAGAATTCTTATCTACCCGGTGCTACATATCAGAGCCAACCGACCAAAAAGAACGAAGCCCCAATTCGCAAAAGACCTCCAGCAAAACTACTCTGCAATGCCTCATAGAGCACCATAAAATAACAAAAGGGTGAGAAACATTATCATAACAAACAATGCATAATATATATATATATATATATATATATATATATATATATATATATATATATATATATATATATATATATATATATATATATATATATATATATATATATATATATATATATATATATATATATATATATATATATATATATATATATATATATATATATATATATATATATATATATATATATATATATATATATATATATATATATATATATATATATATATATATATATATATATATATATATATATATATATATATATATATATATATATATATATATATATATATATATATATATATATATATATATATACACCAACATAGAATACACATACCACATTTCTCACCTTAACACATCACAATTCAATCATACATTACATCGCAACACATATATAATCCACCAATCGTTCACATATTTCACATAACATACACAATTATGTTCATTACACCAATACATCACATGAAGATAATAATGCACTCATAGAGACCGACTCACGACTCTATGCAGATGCAAATGCGGTACCAACTCATTCAGCAG